CAGCGGAAACTGCAGAAGTTCTTCATTATCTGTAGAGGCTAGAAAGGCAAGAAAAACACAAGTTTTAGGTTTTTTTTTTGGCCAGGGCTGGGTTCAAACCCACTACCTCCAGTATATGGGGTCAGCGCCCTACTCCTTTGAGCCACAGGCGCTGAGCCAATGTTTGTTATCTTATATATCATATCCTCTACCTCCTGGAATTGCAGAAGTCACATGTGATTTGAGTATTACAATTTTAATATGGTTTATTCCCTTCTTAAAATGTGTATATTAATTTTTAGTACCCTCTGTATTATGGGACTTTACCTGAGAAAAATATGTAGGCACACTGTAGTTTTGGTTACCACATCAGTAGCTTCTCAGATTCCTTCAAGACATCATCCCACCATAGATATTAGGACACAAACTTCTAGACTATAGCAGAATTTAATATGCTGTACTCTCAATTTCAAAGAGAGCAGCATTCTCTATGTAATATCAGTCAAATACCATCTAGCTATGGGTGAAAAGTATCAGAATTAATATGCTATAATCTAAGTTTTAAAAACAGCAGCTCCCTATATAAGTAACCGTCAAATACCACCTGGTTAAGTGAGAAAATACCATATGCTTATCAATGTAGTTATCTTGATAAAGATGAACAGAAAAAGCAGTAGATAGCCTCATCAAGGAGCAAGTCATTTAGTTCATCTACCTATCCTCTATATTTCACCACTGAACTGTAATATAGATAAACACAAACTATACTTTCCATCCATCAAAAGTTTACCTCTTTGCAATGACTTTTCAACAAGTGTTTTTGTGGTCTGTAAAGCCTGATTTTTGTCAAAAGTTATTGCAACTGCTGTGACTGTCACCTAGAATTATAGAAACAGTATGATTAGCAAAATAATCATTGTGAAAATTAAGTTTCTTACAAATCTTCTTTAGAATCATGGAACAACCTATACCAACTGGCCAAGTGGGCTTTCCTGATTAAGATCCTCAACTGGAATTATAAAGATATGCAAACTAGAACTATGCCCAACATAGACACTAAATCTAGATATTCCAGAAGAAGCTCAAAAACTTTCTCTAAAAAAAATGAGAAATGTTGAAATCTCAAATGATGAGTACAGATCCTATTGTATACTTGCTAAGCACCACATATGATTATACATTCAAGTAACTACAGTTCAATGAAAAAACAAAATAAAACACACGGCCTAATCCATACTGATATATATTTTTTAATCTTTTGAGATAAGTGTACATACTTGAGTTATTTAATAATGGAAAAATTATAATAAAAAATAGATCAGACTAAGGCTAGAGATCTTTAATAACAGACTTAATTACCTGGATCAATTCATCTTCAGGCAGAGAGACTGTAAAATTTACATGGCAAAGGCAGCAGGGGATCATAGATCGTAGTTTAAAATACAAGCTCTATAGAATAGAAACATTAGTAAGGTCACTTTTTAAATTTAAGAATATATAAAAGCTGATTTTTCTTAATGTGCATTGTATTAAAGCGAATAGAAAGTTAAAAAGATTAAAATGAAGCTGGTCTACTTTTGTCTATTCTTACATTAAGAATATATTTTCAGTATTTAAGCAGACAATAGATTTAACTATCCAAAAATATAAGAAATAAGGTTTCTTAAATCTGCACATATATACTAGATGTTTTGAAATTTAAAACCATTAACTTAAACTATATTTTTCTTATAGCATGTTTGGGGTTTGAGAGGGTTTTTTTCTTTAATACAGAGTCTCACCCAGTCACCCTGGGATTGAGTGCCCTGGCATCATAGCTCATAGCAACCTTGAACTCTTGGGTTCAAGAAATCCTCTTGCCTCAGCCTTCTGAATAGCTTGGACTACAGGCACCTGCCATAACACCTGGCTAATTTTTCCACTGTTAGTAGAGGCAAGGTCTCACTCTCTCAGGCTGGTCTCTAACTCCTGAGCTCGAGGGATCTTCCCACCTTGGCCTCCCAGAGGATTACATGCATGAGCCAGTGCACCTGGCCCTCTCTTAGAGTATGTTAGGAGGGACAGGACAACTTTAGCATCTCACCTGATGACAGAGGAAAGATAAGTAAGAATAATTCAGCCCACAAATGTGTAAAATATTATAGATAATATAGCACTTTTAAAATTTCATGATTCTTAGAAGCTTTAAATAAAATTTAGTTAGAAGGTTCCTACCTTGAGCAAATTTTCACAGAGATCATTAAAGTTCTTATTGAGAGCTTGATTAGTCAGGTTAAGGCTGCTTAATCTGATTACTCTTACTGAAGTGAACATCTAAATGTGAAGAGATATAACAACATATCATTTTATTATTTTTAAGTAAATACTGTAGCAGTTGATAAAATTGCCAAATAATTAAAAATAGCTAATGTGGTCTGAAAAATTGTATTTTTATTGTGATGAGGAGGTCACTAAAAAAACCACATTTAGATAAAATTTCTTAAAGTAACTTCTAGAGACAAATTTTATTTGCTTAGAATTAAGAAGGAAAGATTTACCTGTATTTCAGATGTCCAATTATTTATACCAGGCATAATTTCTGTATTGCAACTATAAAAGCCTGTCAAAATAAATAATTAAAATGCATAATGTTTCACTAATTTTTCTGTTAAATAGTATTTTTCAATTATTACTGAAGTTCTCATTGTAAAAAATCTTCTTTGTTCCTGAAATTCTACCTTCAGGAGACTTTAATCCATCCTCATAAATTATCATAGTTTTTTCCCCAAAACCTTGAAAATCAGTTCCACCTACGTTCTAATGTGAATATTTATAAATTTTGTGTCTTCAGCCTTGTGGCGGCAAAGCACGTGACAGCCGAGGCCAGCACTGTGCTGAAGCCTTCAAAGTTAGGACTGTGACAGTTATAAACTAAAATGCCCTTAGGGAAAGCCAGTTTTGTCCCAGAGCAGCTTTCTGTGTTCACCTGAAGGGGGAGGCACGTCAGTGAGTAGAGAATGTACATCTTCCATGGCATCTGTGTCATCAATCTGAGAACACAAAAATTAAAACCATTAGACTCTAAGTAGTAAATGTGTAATTCCTTCTAATTCTGTAAAAATTGGCTTTATTTACTAAATAGAAAATGTCAGAGTCAAGAAGAAGTACAGCCATTTCCCCCTAAGTTAAAATACATACCATTAAAAAATTCTAGTATCGGTAAATTGCTCCACTATAATAATTATAAACACTTCCAAGTGAAATATTTTACACATTAAACTGCACTAAGTTTATTTAAAAAAAAAAAGAGAGAGAGAGAGAGATAACAAGAAAGAAAGAAAGAAAAATGAAAAAACTCATCCTAAACATCCTAGCCTTGCCAGGTACCAAGCTCACACCTCTTATCCCAGCACTTAGGAGGCCTAGACAGAATTACTTGAGCCCAGCAGTTCAAGGTCAGCCCATGCAATGTGGCAAGACTCTGTTTCTGTAAAAAAAAAATTTAAAAATTAGCTGGGCATGGTGGTGTGCACCAGTGACTCCAGAAGGATCCCAGAGCCCATGAGTTCAAGCCCATAGTAAGCTATGAATGTGGTACTGTACTGCAGCCTTGGCCACAGAGCAAGGCTCTGTTGCTAAAAACAAAATAAAGAAATGGATCAATAAATTGTGGTATATGTACACCATAGAATATTATGCAGCCTTAAAGAAAGATGGAGACTTTACCTCCTTCATGTTTACATGGATGGAGCTCGAACATATTCTTCTCAGCAAAGTATTTCAAGAATGTAAGAAAAAGTATCCAATGTACTCAGCCCTACTATGAAACTAATTTATAGCTTTCATATGAAAGCTATAACCCAATTATAGCCCAAGCATATGGGGAAATGGGAGAGGGAGGGGAGGAGAGTGGGGCGTATGGGTGGAGGGAGGGTAAGTGGTGGGACCACACCTATGGTGCATCTTACAAGGGTACATGCGAAACTTACTAAACGTAGAATATAAATGTCTTAACACAATAACTAAGAAAATGCCATGAAAGCTGTGTTAACCAGTTGGATGAAAATATTTCAAATTGTATATAAAACCAGCACACTGTATTCCATGACTGCATTAATGTACACAGCTATCATTTAATAAAAAAAAGAAAACCAAAACAAAACAAAGAAAAAATTAGCCTTTGCTCAAGCCTGTATAAAAGCATATTTCTAAAGACTTACAATGATTGCTTAGTCATTATCCTAATTTGTTAAAATTCATAAACTATAATAAAAAACTTTCACTAAAAATACAGTACTGCTTACAACAGAATAAGGTAGAGATAAATTTAAACACGTATCTAAAATAAGTAAGTCTAAATCCTATTTTTCTTATACCACAATATTCCTTTATGAGTAATAGTGACAATATCCAGCTGGACAGGCACTGACAGTCATCTGTACATCGGTGTCTGAGTCCTGACTCCCAGACCCACGAAGCTTCCCCTCATATCACTCTCATGTCTTCACTTTCACTTCACCTTTGCTTCCCACAGGCGTGGCCAACCTCAGCTCACTGTTCCCCAAATGCTCCACACCCAGGACCTCACACATCCTCCAAATTATCAACCCGTCCCTTTGTCCACTCTTACTGAATCTGCCCCTAACCCAACACAATTCTACCACGAGCTTCCTGCTTCAGAGAGACCAAAGTATTTGATTTTTTTTCCCTTTCTCTCTCCACTTGCACCTTACTGGATTTCTGACTATCCTCATTTATTTTCTTTTCTTTCAATATAAAAAGGAAGAGTTCCTATCTCTTTAGAGGATAACCATTCTACAAGGGAAGGCAACAGATTTGTGAAGGAGGCTCTATAAATCTTTTGTGCCACATTTATTCTCTAGGAAAGTTACTAAAATGTTCTCAGTATCTTTTTGTAAAGAAAAGATTGTATCTTCTGAATTCAGTAAGAGAAACTACGCTCAGAATTCACAGTGCATATATTATTGCATATTACATGCAAAAGCGTTATAATTATAGCAATAAAATATAAGCAGGTAATAATTATAGTAAGTTGAAGAACTTCAATTTCTTATTTAACTTCATTCAACTTTACGAAAGTAACTCTAAAGGTTTAATACTACTTTAATATTTTAACCCATACATTAATTATTTTCACAACCACCTGCATTACTGTATCTGTTATCTGGTGTTCAACCAAAAATAGGTTACCAATGTCTGATATTTTCAAGTTTGTTGCAATTTTTATAATAATCTTTTATATTTTTAACAGTTGTAATGATACAAAAGTATCAATCAATTTAGCATGTGACTAAAAAAAAGTTTTCCTTTTTTTGAGTCTTACTATGTCACCCTAGGTAGAGTTCCATGGTGCCATAGCTCACAGCAAACTCCTGGGCCTAAGCAATTCTCTTGCCCCAGCCTCCGTGTTATCTTTGTTGTTTAGCAGGCCCGGGCCAGGTTCAAACCTGCAGCCCTGGTGTATGTGGCTGGCGCCCTAACCACTGAGCTCCAGGTGTCAAGCCCCACCCTCCGCCCACCAAGAAGTTTATTTCCCAAAGCCTTTAAAGAAGTTAAGTGCAATCCAATATTACCTCCAAAACAAAAGCGTCTTTTTTCCCGTGTGAAAGGTCTAATTCTGTAACTTCATCAGAACTTTCTGACTGAGATCTCAAAAGTCTTGAACGCTGTCTAGGTTCTGGGATAGGTGATCCTATAATCTCTTCAGATATTTCCTAAAAGAAATAAAATTGCTTTTATATTTTATGAGACTGGTTTTACATATATTAAAAGACAAGGATATAAAAGGATTTGCTTTTATTCATAAGAGCAGCCTTAGTGATCTACTAATCCCGAAACACAGATCTAACAGTCACAGACATAGCAAGGTAAAACTGGCCATCTAGTGCACAGACAAGGCACTGCAGTGAGAAGGGAACTGGCAGTCCTTCAAGGGCAGAAGTCCAGCCCCTCTGGCTATGTGTATACTCTACCCAACATTTAGAAAGTCCTAACAGGCCATGAAGATGTAAAGATTTGTGTCCCAAATGAATTCCAGTAATTTGTATCTTTTCCTATCCACTGGTAATTTCGCAAAGCTCCACATAATAAAACCTGGAATATGATAAATGTATGTATGTATGTGTTTGAATGTGCTATGCATGTATTATCTGTATAACTTAATAAGCTAAATAAACTTGGGTTGTTATAATAATGATCTTTTAAAGGTGAGTCTATGGTTCAATCCCATACGGGTGAGTGAACTTTCCCCTATTACACAGCCAAAGATCAGCACTAACTGCAGGTTCTCTTAGCCACAAGGAGTCTCAGAAGGATGTGGCTATGTGATATGCACATATACCGAAGGCAGAAGCTGTTGCTGGTGAAATAGTTTTCTATTTAAAACATAAGGAAATCATAAGTAGAATTTTTTTTAAAAGACAGGTTTAAATGCTCACTGCTAGTGCACACCTTACATAAAAGACTCCCACTGCACAATTTCACAGCATAATGATCTATGGGGCACTTTCACACCCATCTATCTTCTTTGTTCTCCAAATTAACTTGCCTTCGGTAAATTTGACAGGGTGCACATGATGGTGACTACAAAATGAGAAAGAGCTGCAAGTCGGAAGTAAAGTAGTTTGTTGACTAGTAACTATGTTACTACGAAATTGGGAAGAAAAAATAAAAGAAAAAGAAAACTAGAAAACTTGTCTAGGTCAGAATAAAATTTAAAAATTAATTTTAAATTAAAATAAATAAAGCAAAACAAAGTAAGAAAACTAAAGTATGGACTCTGTCTAGGTCAGTTCTTTTGACTCTGAGTGCAATGCTTGCCCCCCTAAATATTATACTTCTTTTGAAAATTTTACAGTAGTTTTCAATTCTGTTAAGCCTCTGTTCACTGTACCAGACCTAATAAATGTGTATTTAATATGTTTTAGGTCCATAATGAGGTTTCATTACTAGTACTGTTATTCTAAAAGATATGCATCTTATTTTGATACCTGTTATCTCCATAAAGTTCAATTAAATGATACATCTCTGCACTAGAAACACTGCTCAATGTACTGAGAAAAATTCAAACAAGAGCATTTACTTCAGCTAAAAGCTAGCTTCCTAAGAGAAAGAAAGAATCCTTGGATTCGCATTTTCAGTGCTTTACAAATTGAAAACACAAAACTATAATGTGTGTAGCGGCCTGGGAATTAATGTTTTGCACCGACTTTGTCAAGCAAATTTGAGACGTTACACTAAATGACAAGCATAGTCAGCATTTGAAATTAAAAAAAAGACGTATTAGAAGAGTCATAAATCGGTGAGTCCTTTTCTGGAAACACATGAAATTCATCTATTCTGAAACTTTAAAAATCATAATAGATTTGTTTCCTCCTTCATAATGGAAATTTTGTGACACATAGTAGCAACTCAATTAAGAACTGAACAAAGTAACTTAACTCACACTCATATTTAAATACATCCCTGTCTTTGAGGGGCTTAAAGATAGACATTTAAAAATTAAGTACAATATTACGTAACAGGCACTGAAGCACATACAGATACAAGAGGAACATAATGGAGGAAGAATCAATTCTTCCTGCGGGAGATGAGAATAGATTTACAAAGGTGACAAATACCTTTCAGCACAAGAGCTAATGAAGAGTAAGTGGAGCCCTAACTTGCAGCTTTACCAATAATTCTCCCGGATTAACATAAAGACTATAAGCAGATGTCCAAATATCAAAATATAAAATAAAAATAATGTACCATAACAACAAGTAGTCAGTAGTCATAAAACAAAATATAATTATTAAATAAAAATAATGTACCATAAAAACAGAGAGCATTTGAGTATTAATATATTAACACATCAAAATTTTTATTCAATTTAAAGAGGCTCTATGTAAGGGTTATTCAATAGAAATATGAAGCAAACTACATAGCTAATGACTTAAAAAAAAACAGATAAAATGAATTTTAATAAAACATTTAATTCATTATATCCAAAAGACTAAATTTTCAACATGTAGTCAATATTAAAATATTCATTAGATACTTTAAATTCTTTTCATACTAAGTCTTCAAAATGCAGTGTCTATTTCATACTTACAGCACATCTCAATTCAAACCAGCCACATATCAAGAACCCAAGAGCCAAGTGTGACCAGTGGCTACACAAAGAATAGTGTAGCTCCAGGTCATGTCCTGAAAATTCCTCCCAGCTTAGCAATTTTGCTAGAATAGTATGATAGAACCTATAGGCCTGATGCAAGAATTCAGACGCACTGTTTCAGAAGACCAGCCAAAATTACATAGTATTTATGAAAAATAAAACAACAATAATAATGTTATCCAAACCCTTTCCCTTCTGAAAGTATTTCATTATCAGAAATTCATAGAAATAAATAGTTTCATCCTAACTCCAACATCTTTTTCTTTCAATTTAGACTATGGCCATAAGGTATCTGTAGAAAAGGAAGCATCATAATACCTCTGAAAACTTGGTAAAATAAGTGATTGCTTTTAGAAATGACTAGTACAAAAATAAGAAGGAAACAGTAACTGAAAGACTGTATTCCTTCACCTTTTTATCACAGAGGAATAATTTTTTTCTTTACTATAAAAGAACATTTTAAACCACTCAGTTTATCATTTAATAAGTATTTATTAAGAGTAACTGTTCTAGGCACAGAAATAGCCCTTAGGGAGCTTTATTATACTAGTTGTAGTAGGCAACAGACCAAAAATGAAAAGCCTTTCCATACTGATACACACACACACAATTACAAAAGAAGGGTGAAAGCAACTTCCAAAAACAGACCAGGGAATTGTCATTTTCAGTAGGATGGTTAGAGTAAGCCACCCCAAAAGGAGACACTTGAGCCAAGACCTAAGGCAAGTAAAAAAATGAGTAACCAGGACAGCTAATTTAACCAGAGGAAAACAAACAAACAAACCCCAAACCATCTTTTATAGCCAAAATAAGATAACCTAAAGACAGAGTAATAAATAATAACTGATATATCCACAATGCAGGTTTATTTTACTTACTGGAGGGATGATTTCATATAACTCTTTGTTCTTAGCAATTGTGTCGTTTATCTTCTTCTGCATGTGGGAAATATGCTGTTCATAGGAGCCGTCATTAGGAGTCTTCCCGGCAATCTGGATACCACCAGGAGTTGGTAAGGCTGCTAGATACACACCTGTGGCAGACTTGTAAAGATAATGGGAAATCATGAGAAAAGTTCTCTATAGAATAAGGGTCCTGAAGTTTCCATAGTTAGGAATGTGGTCTTGGCTCAGTAGGAAAAAAATAATAAAGCATCAGGGTGTGCACAGGATATTTTTGGAAGGGCACAGAAAAACATCACTGGTGACAGCTGACTTCTTCTGGGGAAGACCCTGAGGGCAATTATGAAAGAAGGATTTACTCTTCACCACGTAGTCAATTATACTTCTTAAGAAATACGACTAAAATTTAAAAATTGCTCAGGCAAAAACAAAAAGTAGCTAAAAAATATTTTCATAAATGAGTAAAGATAGATAAACAATCTACCTTTAAAAGTGGCAAAAGTAAAAGGGAGACTTCTGCAAGGTAAGTGCAGAGACTGAAGGAAGGTCAGAAAGAACAGGAGGAAACTGACTCAAGACCACAGTCCACAAATGTGGAGAAGAGATGTGAATCTAAGCGTGTCTCACTCCAAAATCCAAGAACTTTTATCTCGGATAACGTCTATCACCCTACCTTCATTAATTACCAAGAAAAGAACTTTTACTCGATACTTTTAAATATTTAATTAAATTGCTATTAATTTCCAACTCTATAACAGTACTATATACTACTGGTACTGGAAAACTCATATGGGAATACAAAAAGATAAAATTTATATATTACATTAAATATGTAATTATTTATTATGTCTAAATATGCTAATATAAGCAAAGAAAGTATGTAAGTAAATATTAAATATAAAGTATAAACAACAAATTGTTAAAATCAAAGAAGAAAAATGGGAAAGACAGAAGATAATTCTTTTTAACTCTGGTGATTTATATATTTAAGTGTTTGAACTGTTACTATTACTTTTTAAATTAATCAAACGCTAATTTTGTAAAAGTCCATCCATGAAAGGGTGTGGTATTCTATGGCTCTGAAGTCTGCACAATAGATTAAATTTGTCTTCAGGAGTGCTCTCTCCCAGTTTATTTAGTAGTGTGCATCATTATACCCTCTGACGGTCAACCACAGAAGCCACTGCCCAACCTGGCCCAACCTGTACTGCATGAAGCCTTAGCACACCATCGCTACCAGTTTCTTATCTCCCTTCCTTAATGAGGCAACAGCCCTGAATAGTTAAGAACACTGACTCTGGAACTAGAAAGCTTCTGACTCACACAACCCCATCACTCTGGAGGCTCAACCTATGACAACATGCATTTCCTTCTCCTGTAAAGTGAAGGTAATATTACATCCCTCCTGGAAGTGCCCAGTTGGCACTCACTAGAGATTACCTATCACAGAAGCTACTCCTGAACCTGGAGATGTAAGTGCACAAACTCTAACAAAGCACAAAGACGGAAATGTAAAGCAGTTGTAATTAGTATCACTAGTGATCAAGGAGGAAAAGACTAGTATGAATCAGAAAAGCTGTATTTGAGGCAGGTCTTGAATTATTCCAGAGTCATAAACTGGTTTCCTGATGTTCAACCATTAGAAATAGCACAGTGTTTTTTAATCCTCTGAATCCAAACACAGCTCTTAGTTCCCATAGGCACCCACCAATCACTGTAGTCTTATACTCAGTCCAAATTATACATTTATGCTATATCTTCACTAAGTGTGCAAATTTTTAGGCCACTGAATTAAAATGAACACTTTTTCCCCACGTTAATCTAAGTATCAAATATTTTCATACAAACCCGGTTACTTTCATTATTACAAATTTCTGTCGTTACAAAATTGTGATACCTCATCAGTTTATCCTCATCACACAATTATTTACTACAGATAGAAATTTACATCTTTGCTTTTACAGAAATAACAGATGAAGCAGGAAGCAATTCTGCATTTTACCCACAAATGTATACTGAGACAAAGAATTCAAGTCCCACAAGTTCCATAAAATTAAATTTCTATGCACGTCTCAGAAAGATGGCAAGAGAATTTTTCAATATGAACATTGCCAGTGACATAAATAAAAATACAGGGTAGCAAAGTGTGTAGAGTCTAAAAGGATTTCCATACATATTGTTGATCAGATTCCACAGGATTAATATGTATTTTGCAAGCACCTAGATTTCTAAGTCCTATGCGACTTTCAGAGGCAACACTGACTTTCCCCACTGACATCTTTCCAGTCAGAACTCATTTTCCCACCGGCCATGATGAACATGAAGCTGAGACAGAGCTTTTCCCTAGCTGCTATTTTATCGGCACTTACGAAATACACATATTTTATTATACTTTCTACCACTGGCACAGATGCACATTTATGATGAAGCGTAATTCTCTGTTCAATAACAGGCAGTATCTCACATGTTTTGCTTAATTTTGTCCATTAAAACTAAAGATTGTTTGACATGTGATCCACATCCAGGGTGAACCCCCCTTAAGGGACATTTGGCAATGTCTGAATCATTTGTTTTTGAGTGTCACAACTGGAGGGATGCTCCTAGCATCTAGCGGTAAAGCCCAAGGACGCTGTCAAACATCTTACAATAACAGGACAGCTCTAGGCAACAGTGTTATCCTACCCCAATCTCAACTGCACCAAGATGGAAAAACTCTATTTTAGCAATGTATGAATAATGACGTCCACAACGGTGTCGGCCAACTTACTAAACAAGCTATAAATAATATTTCTAGAAACAGGACCATTGAAGTTGCGATCACAGTCCCTTTAAAATATGTGAATGCCTATCACCAGAATTTTCACTTCTTAAAAAGTCCCTATCCGGGCCAGGCATAGTGGTTCACACCTGTAATCTTAGCACTGTGGGAGGCTGAGGCGAGTGGAGTGCCTGGGCTCATGAGTTCAAGACCAGCCTGAGCAAGTGCAAGCCCTGTCTCTAAAAAATAGCTGGGCATTGTGGCAGGTGCCTGCAGTCCCAGCTACTTGGGAGGCTGAGACAAGAGAATTTCTTGAGCCCATAGTTTGAGGTTGATGTGAGCTATGATGCTACAGTACTTGTACCAGGGGGCGACAAGGTGAGACTGTCTCAAAAAAAAAAAAAGTCCCCATCCCTTAAAATGAGTTGATGTCAATTTCTTTGTATATGTCCTTTAAAAGACTATTTCAATCACATAAAATAAAATGTACAACTACAGAAATCATAAAACAAAGCCAAAAGCATCAAAACTTACCGCTAAGCCCATCAACATATTTTCGCCCACTGTAATCTGAATTCTTAGTCCAAACAAGGCGTTCATTCCTTTGAGTTTCAGTTTATTCATGAGCTGAGTATGCACTTCATATTCCATGAACGGCAGGAGGTTACTGATAGCTGTGGCATTGGCTTCTGCCTGTGCTTTCTTTTTTAAGCGGCATAACCTGTTCAAGAAAATAATTTCAACAGTGGACCATCTTCTCGGTACAATCTTAAGAAATTTCCAATCTTCAAAACTTTCTGAAAGGGTGCTTAATAAAACTTTCTAATAAGCCTATTAAGTTGTATCAGTAATCTTTTCTTCCAATTTTTGTCATAGTATAAACCCTCACTGAAAGTCATATGTTCATGAACAAAAGTGAAAAACCTCAGAATCTCTAAAAATAAAATGATAGCAATCACAAAGAATATAATTTAAAATCTTAAGTTTCACAAACCCATGTATTTTATGATGGCTGGACAGCAGAGAAAACAAGCTAATTTACTTATTAAAAAAACACACACACACACATACAAAAGTTATGTTAGCATGCCAGAAAGATTAACTTCAAAGCAACAGTAACTAGACTAATAGGTTATTTCTCCACAGTAGCAACGAGAGCCAAGAGGAGGTGGTGAAAGGGAATTGTCAATGTACTAAAAGAAAACAATTGCCAACCCAAAATATTTTTTAAAGATAAAAGTAAAACAGGACTATTTTCCAACAAAAACAGAACACCACCAGCAGATCCACTAAAAGAAATATGGTGGATATTTAGGTAACAGATAAACAATTCCAAATGGTAAATGGATTAGAAAAAAATTTTAGAAGAAAAATCAGAATGACTTTATAATAAATTTGATGTGGGGAGGATGAGAAAGAGGACAGCGTCAAACAACACCAAATTTGGCGTGAAGAACTGGGCAGAAAAAGGTACCACTTATTGAAACAGATGAGGCTAATGACGAGAAAGAAAGGGAAAAAATCAGCAGTTCAACCAGCAGCAAGCGTGAGAAGCCTATGATGCACTAAAATGGGGAGTGAAGACGACGGGGGCCTGAGTCCAAAGCCTGGACTCACAGACCTGCTACCCGAGTCCGGCCACAGTGACAAACTTGGAAGCCACAGACATACAGATAGCATGTACATCTGCATTAGTTCAAAGGAAGAGACATTTGAGACGAAGGTCCATGCCCATGGGTCCCCCTCAGGGATCAAGAAATGAGAAAAATCCACAAGGAGGCTGAAGACTATTCAGAGAGGCAGAAAAACACAGTGTGGCGTTGTGCAGTCAAAGGAATTTCAAGTAGGAAAAAATAATCAATTGTGTCACTGTCACACATCAATTGTGTGCTGAGACGTCAGGTAAGATGAAGGCATTTCTGCCCTGGATTTGCTGCCCTGGCAATCAGGGGTGACCAGGACAGTCACTGCTGTTTGCTGTATGCGTGCCACAATTTCAGATTTCCTACTCCACTGTATTTTAAAAGCAACTCTTACCAGCTAAGCGAATTAGAAAAAGAAACACTATGTAGCAATGTTCTTTACAAGGAAAAAAAGGTCAACTTGTAAAATGTGTTACGTATTTAATACCACTACAGCAGTCTATCAGTACTTAGTCACATCCCCAGCCTGCAGCAGATAATGTTAAAATGTTCTTTTGCATATAAACTGGAATTTTATACAGAGACATTTTTTCTCCCAGTTTTACATGTGATAAAATACAAGGTTCCAAGAGAACTGCCCAGTTTGTCCAGGATCACGCAGGTGGAAAACAGCAGAGCTGATATGAGAAAACAGGTGTATGACTCTCCACTTCAGACTTTCTCAGGGACACTAAATGCTGTTTTCACCAACCTACCTTGCTTGAATAAGACAACCTTTCCCAATAACTGTTGCATCTGATGGGAGGTCGACAGTTGTAAAGAGAACGTCAGGAACTTTTTGTTTCCTACAGTTATAGCAATATGTGAGATGAGCTGGAAATGGCATATTCAGTTCATCGTATGGTATGTGGCAAAACCCACAGCCGGGAGGCAAGTTTTCTTCAAGCCTATACAAATATACGAAGGGGAAAAAATCGTTCTTGAAAAATCTATACAATTTTTCTAACACAATATGTAACTGATATTACATATAAAGTACTTCCATACAAACCACACAATTTCTACCTCAGAACGCTGTAAGGGTACTGCTATGACTCTTAAGGATTACAAATGACTATGAAATTATTATCTACTGAAAAAGAAAAATAAGTCAAAAATAGGCACAGTCTAAGATTTCTAATTTCCAAGAGGTATACTCTTCAGATTCCTAATTTCCAATAACTTGTTTCAACATTTCTGAAAAACCAAAACACCTTTTTGATAAATGGCACACATAATATACATAAACAAAATGAAACACGTACAATTTCCCTACTCATTATAAAGTATCTGTACTATGTTTATGAATGCATTTAAAAACAATTAAGCATTTTTCAGTTACTAAATTTGAGGAAGTCACAACAGAGATGGAAAGAGACAGAAGCTCCAGGGAGAACTCCGTTCCTTCAACCAGCTACATCTTCTACAATTCTGGAAAGAAGTGAGTTTCAGTTGTCCCTAATCTAAAGCAACCCATTAGCAGCTGAAACTTGGCAAGTAGACAAATTAAAAAGGGAAAGGAAAACTCATACCACATTGCATATGCTATGAGACGAGCTTTCTGCAAATTCTTTATACACAGGTTTTCACTGAGTCTTCACAATAACCCTCTACCACACATTAAATCACTCCTCGATATTATTCTTTTACTGTAGAAATAGCATTCTGGTATATTAAAACTAACAGAGAGTTAGACATCTAAATGGGACTGTGTGATGTCTGTGTGTGAACAAGTTATTTAACTTCTCAGAGCCTCCTCTATAAAACTGGAATATCCATCTAGAAAGGTTTGTGGATTTTTTTTAAAAAGATTAAGAAAACTAAAGCTAAACAACACATTCCCTCCTCCAATATCATACCCTGCAGACAGCAACAAATACTAGTTTCCCTTCGCCTGAACCCAAACCGAGAGACTAACTTGCTAAGGCATACTAAGTATCAATACCGAGTAGTGGACCTCATGTTGGAATTCAAAGCCAATGGTTATAAGGGGCACAAAAGGAAGAAAATTGAAGCAATTTTTAACGAAACACTTACCGATTGGGACGTTAGTGCTGTTAACATCATAAAACATTATGAAAGTATAAAATTACTAAAATGTCTTAAAGTAAGAAATGCACACAGGATTTCCCCTGAACAGTGAAATCACAGGGGTCCCTCTCTTCCATCGTCTCTCCTACATGCTCAGTCTTCTTTCTACTGAGAATAATTTACACAGCAAAGAGAAAAGACTTTTCCTCTTTTAACAAGAGGCAGCATCTGTTGTACTGGACCACCACGTAAGAGAATACACTGTAGCCATCTAAGTCACAATACAGAAATAACCAATTTGCATGGGAAAGGTAATTTTCAAAATCATGCTTTCTATCTTCTTAAGAATGAAATCTACAGACACGTGTGAGAACTACGTTGCAGCACTGGGAAAACTCACCCACTAAGGCAGTTTTCTTAGTAGAACATTCCAGTGGTTTAATATACTTCACGATACCCTACTTTTACTTATTTATGATTTACTTACTTAAGACTCTGGAATTTATAATAGTCAATACCCATTTTAATACTGACAAAAGAAACTGACTGAGGTTTTCTTGTGACTCCCAGAACTAGAATATCTTTATTATATAGAAACTTGCAACTTGATAATAAATCTGACCACAACTTTTTTGTACTTTCTTCCTTAATACAGACTTATTAATACTGGGTGAGGGGGAGAGGAAACACCTATAGCCTGACATAAGGGGTATTTAAAATCTACTATTACCCAGGTAGACGCTGGTTCCAAACTAATTACATATATATATATATATAGAGAGAGAGAGAGAGAGAGAGAGAGAGACAGAGAGATAAATAAACTTGGCAAGAAGACAAAATTCAGAAGGGAAACTTATATATACAGTCAGCCCTCTGTATCCACACTTTTGACATCTATGGCTTCAACCAACTATAGTTCAAAAATATTCAAGGGGAAAAAAGCCCCACAAGGTTCCATAAAGCAAGATTTGCCGAGAACTCATGGGCTGACAACTATGTTGAATCCACGTGAATGAAACAAAATGTAGGCATTGTATCAGGGATTATAAGTAACACTAGAGACGATTTAAAATATCTAAGAGGGTATGTGTAGGCTACACGCAAATACTATCCCATTTTACCCAAGGGACTCTACCATCAGGGATTCCAGTTATCCACAGGGGTCCTAGAACCAAAATCTTATTGATAACCAGGGGATGACTCGGTGTGTATTTGATAGTTTCATTGGTTTATGGAAAACATTTTTGACCTTTCTGGAAGCTTATAGTTTAAGTTTAAAGGGACCATAATTAAATAAACCAAAAAGTAAAGCACGTTTTATCTAAGTATTTGACTCTCTTTTCATGCAATATAGTTGCACGTCACTTTCCATGAAGTTTCTATGTATGTAGTTTCGTTTAGTTTTCTTTGTAATTTTGTAAATTGAGAATCTTCTTTAAGAAAACTGTTTCATGACCTCTTTCCATTATGGGAGAGTAAGAGAAAAGTCAAGACATTTCTGTATTATGAAAAGTCAAAAAAAGATATATCTGAAACTCTTCAATTAGCAACATACTAGGAAAAATGTGTGGAATATAGTACAGAATCCAATACCTCACTGTTACTTTGGGTTAGTTAAAAAAAATCCTTGAAGCGCTTAGTCCTGATTTCTGTACTATGCCACTGAAAGCCACTCTCACAAGGAACTATCCCAGCTCTAAGGAAAAAAAGGGAAACTTTCTCTTCCCTGCCCTTATTAAAAACAAGCCAGGCTGCCAAGACAACCTCTGCTCCAAACAGCCCTCCACGGTGCCATCCTGCAGGAATCTAGGGTTCAGTACAGCTGCTGTGCCGGATGCAGATAAAATGCAGACCTCTTCACTGTAAAGGGAAAAAGAGGAGCTAGTTAGTATTTTCAGACAGAGTAACTTTGGAAAATGCTAAATATCAAATGATTATAACATGACAATTTAAATTCAAGTTAGATTCTTCTAAATATCAGTAAATTAACTGGATTCACTTGTAGACTCTTTCATCTGTGACTTATCTGCAGGTAAAATCACAAGATTACTTTCTAACTCCAGGATAGAAAATAGAAATAACTATATCAGAATAGAAAATAGAAATAATGTAACTGTATCAGAATGCAGAGTGTTAGAATTCTTTATAAACTACACCTCCACGTGACAGAAAAACACAATTAAATTCAAGTGGAAGGGATGGGAGGGAGGGAAAGAAGAGAGGAGAGGAGGGAGGGAGATTGGTAAGCTCTCACCTAATAAGCACATGGAAGGGGACACAGCACAATCCCTGAGTGAAGGGAGCAATGACAACTTGAACTTTACCTAACAAACACAAGCAATGTAACCTAATCACTGTACCCTCATATTAATTGGAATTTTTTTTAAGAGTTGAAAAAAGGAGGTGTTAATATGACATTCACTTCCTGTAAAATATAGTAAGACTAAAGGAATAGACTATCTCCAAATATACTGTACTATATATAAGCTGTACTATTAAATCCAGTATTAATCAAGTAAATCACATTAAAATATTCTTTAAATGCATATGTGGTTTTACTAAAATTATTCTAAAAGCACTATTATATGAACATCTACATTTATGTAGACTTACATAGCTTAACCTAAATT